TTCTTCTTCATCTGGGACGGCATGTCCATGTCCAGGAGCCAATGCCGTTGCCCCAAAGTGAAACGTACTCAATGCAAGTGCATAAACTTGTATAGACAGGGGGGTGGAACATGTTTATTTTTTATACCAAGCAGATTTCGCGTTTATACTCATTTATTTGGTTTTTATTTTCATTTTGTTGATGCAATTTTTTAATTAAATAAATGAATTCAATTCACGGGAATAAAACAACGGAAGAATATTTTTAAAGTCTAGTTCACTGGAAAAACTAACGTTACCGAGGTAACGTTTCTTGACGCGACCCCACCAGGTAACGTTTGGTGATGCAACCAGTTTGTGATGGCCCTATTCTTTTGCATGGGGTAGGTCGTATCAGGAAACGTTACCGGTCTTGGTCACATGATGAAACGTTACCATGGTAACATTTGTTTTTCCAGTGTTATTATTATTATTTTAGTAGTAATGAGGAGCAAGAGTGGAACTGAGCTTTTTTCTCTCTGCCGGCCCGCTTCCTGACTCATACTGATCTCCGAGGACCCTCCTGAATTAAATAAATTGGCGGTGTCCTCGAGGCCCGGGACCCGCCCTCAAGGCCTGCCCGCGGCGCACCTACCTCCCCAAGTGCTCTGCTCGCTCTGCCCCCGACTGGACCTCGGACTCTCGCTCCACCGATCAACTGGCCGGCAGGCCGAGCGGCAGGCAGGGCCGGCCGAGGCATGCGCTCCTGATGGCCGGTAATCGGAGGTATAAGAGAGAGGGCGAGGGGAGGGGTGGAAAGGGGGAGGGGAGGTGGGATCGCGGGGGAAGGAGTCGCCACTCAGCCAGATGAGGGGAATCATATTTTTTAGGCCTTCTGCTCTCTGGCACCTGCCACCGCGGCCGCGCCGCCGCGTCGCCGGTGAGAGGGAGAGCGGCGCACTTCCCCCTTTCCCTCTCCGCTCTCCTCTTCAGAACGCTCACTTCGGTGGTCGCGTCGGGGGAGGCTTGGGTCGGCCGAGAGATAATTTGCTCCTTGAGGCTTCGGCCCAGGAGGCTGGAGCAATCCTTAAGGCGGCGTGGTGCGACTTCACCAAAGGACGAGTCGAGAACAAGGAGAAGGATGAGAGAGAGCGAGAGAAAGAGGGGGGAGGGGGTGGGGAGAGGGAGAGAGAGAGAGAGACCGAGTACCCAGCTGCTCCGGGCCGAGCTGCTCCCCTGAGGGCGGGAATCGGTGACAATAACAAACCGAGCAGCGGCGCCCTGCGTCTCCCTCCTTTCTTTTTCTCCCTCGCCCCCCCTCCCCCTTCTCCATCCGCCTACACGGAATCAGGTGGGGACCTCCGTTATCCTTATCGGGCACAAACTTACCTCCGCTGCACAAAATTAAAACCCCCGCTATGATCGGGGCGGACCCGGAGCAGCGCGGGCAAATGAGACGGAAAACAGGTAGAATTATAGGATGTAAATAGCGAGAGAGCGGCTGGCAGCGGATACCGATTTACGATAGGAAATTGTGTGTGCGTGTGTGCGTGTGCGAAAGAGGAAAGACGAGTGTGAGAGGGATGTGGGGATGAGGGGTACTGAAACGCAGAGAGGAGCGGGAAGGGTTAGGGGTGGGGGTTGGGGGGACTGGGCCAGTTAAGGGGGAATACGGATGAATGGCGAGGAATGATCCGAAGAAGAACATTTGACTTTTTTCGTTCTTTAACAAAACTAGCCCCCTACCTTGGCATTTGAAACGACCAATACGCAGCTTCTCCCGCAGTGATCCTCTCGAGCCACACGGGCTCATCCTAATACACGCCCAGCGGGGGAGAGGGGGGGGGGGCTGGAGTAGAGAAGGGTGGAGCTAGGCCCCGTGGCAATGCCTCCCTCAGGGCCTATATTTCTCGTATCATGCAACCCGTTTTTTCACCATTATCCCCTACGGACGCACGAGGGCCGGGGAGGGAGTGGGTCAGATTGAGAGAGGAGAGAGGGGCTGGGGAGGGGGCGGGGTGGCGAGGCCAAGAGCGTCCACGCACAAGGACACAGTACACGCCTGACCGCAGTACGTCGGTTCCGGTTCGGAGGCGGCGAGGCTATCCAGTTTACATTCAGAACTCAAAAGTTAAGAGTGAAAAGCACACAATGCCTTTTCTTCGCTGCAAAGATTGTAGCAAGCTACCACAAAAGTACGCCCGTCATCCGCCGTTACGAACCTGCCAAGTGCAGCCGGTTCAAAAGAA